GGGGGGCGGGCAGGGCTTGCCAGGCGGGTGCACAGACCTCAGAGGAGCCCCATAAATGAGCATGGGTCATGAATCTCATTCTTCAAATAATCCTGCTCCAGAGACAGGGTGAGACATCTTGATTTAGACCTGCTTGAAATTTGCTGAGACAGTTCACTCTCTCATACTTTCGTTTTGCTTGTTTCCGTCTCCCTCTCTATATATATATTCTCCCACATACATACACATGCACACACACACCCCACTGCCCTCTCTTGCTGTATACCTGTTATTTTGATGCTAGTGTACCGTAGCATTCATGTCTGTGTGCTTTCCCAGGCCGTTCATTGTGCTGCCTCCCCTGATGGAGTGGATACGGGTTGCCGTGGCTCACGCGGGGCACCGTCGCAGTTTCTCGGTGGACAGCGATGACGTACGGCAGGCAGCAAGGCTCTTACTGCCGGGAGTTGACTGCGAACCTCGACAGTTAAAGTAAGTCCACAAAAAAAAAAATCAGCTGCTTTGTGCAAAATGTGTCTCTCTTTCCTAGTGACAGCGAGCGAGCAGGCAGGCAGGCAGAGGGCTCTGTTATTGCCTTGAGAGGTGCATGGATGCTCGGGCTCGCCGCTGTGTGCGTTGCAAAATCGGCTCCTGATATTTGCTCACATCCATGGATAAGCCGGTTGCATGGTAATGGGTGCCTGAATATCTCACAGCTGGATCGAGCCCGCAATCTGCTCGTTAGAGCTCATATGGTGGTGGTGGTTTTTTTTCTTTTACTATTAGGCTCTGCTTGCTAATGAGAGGCTGAAATATTCTGCTAATTGTCTGCTTCACGTTGCTTTGCTATAAAATACTGAGATGTAGTTGGCAGGGCTGCAGATATTTTTCAGTGCTTTGTTTTCACCATTAATGCTTAAAGGGCACATTTAAACTTATAGGTAAGACTACCTCTTGCAGTAAAATTGTATTTTTCATGCTAATGTCGGTTCAAATTAGTTGTAAATGTCAGCCTAGATAATTTGACTCTTTCGTCTGTAAGATGTGACCTTTTGGTTTTCTAATGAAGTCTTAAAGTATTTATTGCCAGGATATGTTTTTAATATCTCTTTTGCCTTACTATTATGTACAGGTATAAAAGCATGATCTAGGGCTGTTTTGGAGTCAAGAATATATTTGGGTTTGATTTTCATATGAAAAGGCATTCTGAATCTGCCAAAGTAGAGATTACTCACTGCTATCGCTTCACAAATTTTGTACATAAAACCCAATTTTCCGCAGTTTGCATCTTCATACAGCAGTAGGTGCATTCTTTTCTGCAACACAGAAAGCAGAGGGATGATCTACATGATTAGCTGGGACAACCTGCATCGGAGCAGCTGCCTTCTGTTGACTCTGGCCTTGACATGCTCTTTTACCAGAGAGTATAATACTTTACTTCGAGATCTGCATAGGCTTTTTATAGTTGCAGCTATTCAATATTTAATTGAAGAAATATGTTGAATTTCGAAAGTGAAATCTTGAGCGTTTCAGATTTCAGATCTTGGCTGTAATTGCTTCCCTTTGGTGTGACCATCTTGGCCCTCATTTCCAGAAGTGCAGCGTTCTGCATCCCTACTGATATGTCAGGACTTACTGGTACTATGTCCTTTCTGAAGACCTAGCACTTGGTTTTAATTTAATTAATTTAATACCTGTTCCAGTATTTAGGTAGGACTGCAAATAAGGATTGCAAATTAGGCAATAATATTTCTGCTCTACATCCTCTGTCTTAAAAATGAAGGTAGATACAGTTAAAGATTGGTGGATTTAAAAAAATCACACTATACCATTCTTAAAGTTATATTTTGTCAGTGTGTATATGCCATCAACTGTTGGACAATTTTTCACGAGTTTCAAAATCATTTGAAGTTGGGGTGAGTTGTATTATGCCACATAAGAATTTATCAATTATGAGGAACAAATCAGCATTTAGTTTAAAGTTGCCATCAAGAATTCATTTCATAAAGAATATATGTGGTAGCTGTTGCCCTGCTTGTCTTGCAAGGGAGAGCGCACCTGAAGAGCGGAGCCTGGGATTAATCAGACGGGAGTGAAAAGAGAAATCATTCCTGAGACAAATTCTGGGTTTTAGAGAGACCAGACTTTGCAACGTGCCCACTTGACTGCAGGGGCCCGATTCACCCCCTGATGTCCCAAAATGAAGATCTCGCTCTACTGCACTGGTAGAGGTCTACAAATGAGTGTCTGTGTACTTTGGGTTTTATTTTAAGGTCTGTGCCTACTGCCAGTGTAGTGCAGCAGGTTCTTTGCGTAGCTGCGAATCGGGCCCCGGCTGCCTGTAATCCTGAGATCAAAGGAAGGACCGAGCTTTTCTGAAGAATAATGTGAAGCATCAGGATGTTAATTTGAAACCTTGCAGCTTGTAATTTTTTATTTGTATTCAGTGCAGACCCTCAGCACTTCTCATTTTTCACTAAGCTGAGCGCCAGCCTTTCATGCCTCCCCATTAGGGAGGGAGGGTTTCCAACTACCAACTCCTCAGCAAGCATCAATTCCATAAATGAAAACACTGGGAGGGAGGGAAAAACGCGACAACTTTGCAGGGGATGGCTTTTCAAATAAGCTGTGTGACGGATGACAGCTGGAGGATTTTAAATGCAGTAAGCTTGATATATTTTGTGACTTTTATAGAAATGGCTTAATAAGTAGAACCTTGAAACTGGTTCAATTTCTAGGCTTTTCTTAGCAGTCTTCTGTGGTCCCTAAAATATAGAGACCTGAACCCAAAAGTTCCCGTGCTCCCATGTGATATTGCATCATTCCACTGTGTTGATTCACGACCTGTCATTGCAAACGCATAAAGCAAAATCAGCTTCCATGCTGGAAATACACGCATATGGGGAGAGGGGGAGAGAGAGAGATTGGCAGGATCTCAAAGGCTATGAAGTTCAGGATCAGTTCGGATAAAAACCAAATGTTCAGTTTCTTATCTGAACTATAGCATGGAGGTCTCCCAGCAGATTCCTGTGACACTTCCCAGCACAATCACATACTCCAGCAGTGAGGTTCCCGATACGCGGCTTTGTAAATGATCTCTGCTTTCTTCCTGCCTTTCATTCCAGTACTTCCTCTCTTTCTCCCCTCTTCTGATCTTTTTTTAAAAATCCTTCGCCTTAATTTCTTGCAATGTTTTCATCTCCTGAAAGAGGAGCTGCTCTTGCTCTGGGTAGAGGAGTGAGGGAAGCTGGAATCAGGCAGGAGCTGACTGTCTCCTTCCTAATCTCTCTTCATTTTACAGCAGCAGACATGCCAGAAAGTTTCTTCCCTTTCCCCAGCCTTGGGAGATGAGCAGGGATATAAATGTTCCCCTTCCCTCAGGAGCGGAAGCTTTAAATAGAGTAGGTGTCTCCACCTTGTGCAAGGAGGTAGGTTTCACAGATGGATTGACTGCTGGATGCACGACAGCTAGCTGAGACAGAAGCCCAAATTGTGTCCAAAATACTCTTTGTCATAATGGGAGACCAGACAGGAGGAGCCTCACCTGTACCCAGGTCCTGTTGGGCCACCTGAGGCAGCTGGACGTAGTCAGTAGAGAACTGTGTGCAAAGTAGCTCTCTGCTGGCATAAATCTGGTGAAGGTGGGTGCTCTGCACCTTTTATTAATGAAGGCATCAGGGATGAAGGTAATTTGTTGCCAGAAAGGGGCATGGTGGTAAAAACTGTGTTGACCTGCCTTTTTGCTGCAAAAAGGTAGTGTCACTTCTCAGACTGCACTGCGTCTGGCTGGCTGCAAGCAGATGCCTGGTTTTGGCTGCTCCTCATCATCGCGTCTGCAAGGGGTCCCTTTCCACTTGCCCCACCCAAACGCAAGAAGCTCTTTGCGTGTCTTTTCTTCCTCAATTCTGTGGGACGTTTGTTTTAAAAAAAATAACAATCTGTTAGACGTGCTGGGGAGGATTGCTAATGGATGACTACATCTGGGGCCTGGAGGCTGATGGCAGAGAAACAGAGCAAGGGAGAAGCATCCTGTATTGCTCAGCACAAAGGCGGCCGTGCTTTTTGTCAGGGTCAGTGGCTTCATTTCTGGTTGCAATATATCATGGCAATCCTGGAGGACGTAAAGATGCTGGAACAAACTGAACTCAGAGACATGGTAACGTCATGCTGAGGACTGTCACATGGTCACTTCTGTACCTGACTGGATAAGGGGCTATTTTCTGGCCAGTCAGAGGTTAAAAGAAGGATATAGTCGGGGATGTGAGTGTGTGTGCATGCACACATGTTCATTCGGATATCCAGAATCAGTAAAAATTGAAGAAAAATCCACTTTGGGGCAGTCTTGGAGACCTGACTGCAATTCCCCTCCATAAAGGGCAATCTCATGTGTTATTTGAAATAATCTCTTCTCCCCTCAGCATTGCCTCAGACCTCTTCAGTTCCAAAAGTCATGCACTTTCTGGCCTCTCTGGGGAAAGCTGCTTTTCCCGGGTGTTTCCGGGCCTGGCAAGAAGCCCCCTTGCCCCCAAGAAGGCCTCTGCCATCTGCTGAAGGGAATCAGGTGGGCAGTATCTTCAGTCCTCGTAGTGACTACCAGGAGCTCCCTGTGGCATTCATTACCGTCCACCACAGGCCACAGCTGCTTCACTGGAGGCAGGTGTTGGCAGGAGGAGCCTGGGACAATTCTGTAAAGAGATCTGAAGTCCTTTTTGGCAGCTGTACCCAAAAGGCAGCATTTGGAAATGGCATTTTTGCTATCAGGCTCCTCATGGGTGGAGTTCCACAGGGATCTGTTTTCTTCTTGCCCCATCCCATATTGATGTACAGCCCATGGAGACCCCTCAGGCTCTGGTACCACCAGGGTGCATCGCAGTCCCTTGTTTGCAGTCCCTGGTCATTGGGGTTGTTCCCCAGAGGACAGAGCTAGGCAGTGGGGTTTGCATGCCGACCCCACTGGTGCGGTCAGAGCCCCCCATTATGTTCCAGTCAAATTTAGTTGGAGGTGGCAGCATTGCTGCTGGTGGAGGCAGAGCTGGTGAGAGCAGGAGCCAGTGTGACAGGGCTTTGTGCCTGTGTACAGATGGAGATCCATGACTTGATCCCCTTTAATTGCTTGCTCGTGCACTTCAGCAGCATTTCTGAGTTATCCTTGGGGTCCCCGAGGGTGCTGGGCTCACCGTTTGGGCAGCAAATATCCCGTTTGTTCTCTGGCTGGCTGTGGGTCTTGGGCCTATCTCTCCTCCTGACCATGGACATAACACATTTTTCTCCTCTCTTCCAGGAGTACAGAGGTAAAATTGGTATCTTTAAGTCCTGGCCTTGAGGAGGCACCTGTGAAAGGTGTGCATCAGTGCCAACAGAGGCCATCAGCCAAGAACTTAAGTGAATATTTTGCCTCTGTTTTTGGGAAGAAAATCCTTGGGGGAAAAGGAAAAATAAATAAAAGCAACAAGGTTATGAAAATGGGAAAACAGTAATCAAAAGGCAAACAA